TCGGCGGCTGTGAGAGGCTCTCCCATCTAAGGCAGCAAGTGCTAAGTGCTTCCGGAAGGGTAGAATCAAGGTGGAAACATGAAGCAGGCTTGAGCAACTTCAGTCGTGGAGATCAGCATAGGCTAAATAAAAAAAGAAGTCATTGTGCGTGGCCTTGAAAAACGCAGGGGGTGTCACTGGGAAGAGGGATGAGGAAGGACAATGCACGTTGATAGAACAGACTGACAGTAAGATGGACCACCATACACCGTCAGCTTTATTTGTGACGTTCAGGTCTGAACAAATGACTCTAGAGAGGAGGAGTCAAGGAAATCGACTTGAGTGTATAATGGCCAGGGGAAAGGGGTTCTAAGGAGATGGGATTAAACCATGTACAATTCTCTGCTGAAAGATCGCTGGCTCCCAGCAGATAATCACTCCGTGACCAGCTGTGCTGTTGGGAGTTGTGTGAAACCTTGCTGGTAAGGGGAATGAGCGCCACCTGGAGGATGTGCTCTTTCGTTACCAAATTATTTGGAGAGAACTAGGAGTTAGAATGCGAAAGAAGGTAGATGACTTTATGGAATTAAAAGAAAGCCAGATTTTAAGAATCAAGCTTGCATCTGTTGATGTATTTAACGTCAAAGTTATAGTTAATGTTACAGATGTTGGTGTTTCTTCTCTGCACTGGAAAAGGTAGAGGATGATATTTTGATTGGATAACAAGTGAAAGATGTTCAGATCCTAGAGTGAGCATGTGGAGCTGAAGGGAAGACATGTGTTACATGAATTTTTTGTGGGGTCAAGTTATAGAAGACCAGAGATGTGTGCTTTTAATAAGTGACACTATTTTACACAGAATGCTTTAAAACGTGCCTTTCCTAGTTAAAAAGAAATGAATCTTGGGGGAAAGTCCATATTAGTATGTATAGATTTAGCACGTTTAAACGGCCATAGATAGTCCATGCTATGGATCTATTAGTGTACTTAGCCAACTCCCTAGTGATGGGTATTTATATTGTTTCTAATGGTCTACTTATAAAAATGCCACAATCAACTCCTTTCTAGCCTTGTATGGGCTTTCTTCATGCGAATCCTTTCTTATTTATTATGATTGAATAATCTTAAAATGCTATACACTCATGACATGTACTATCCCTTAAAATTTTCCAAGCCATTTCCTTTGGTCAATTCTAAAGGTTAAGTGATATTTGCCTGTGATTTAGCCAGATACACCTGAGAAGCTTCTGCGCCCCTGTCCTTAACTTTTGAAATGTGTTTTCTCCGTTCTTCTGCCTGCCTATTCTCAGGACAACCTCTGCCCAGCGGTGCAGCTAGAATAGGGTGGAATGAGAACACCCTTTAATAGACAAAGCCCTTGACTCTCCCTCCAATTACCCATCAGATTTTTGTCCAGTCTATCACGGGGGAAGACTTTGTTTGGGATGAAGAAGTGGGACATCTTTTCTTTAGACTCTTATTATAACAGATTCTTTTCGATCCCGTAACCTGGACAAATCCCTGCAGAATAGATAGTGAAGTCCCGTTCACAGTGAGTGATTCACTCACAGGCATTTCTTCACAGCCCAGGAAGGAGTCATATTATAATAAAGATTCTGTTGATGCGGCAAGGTAAGACTGTCCTGATACCTGGAATAAGAAAACAAAAAGCCTTTATCTTTTACTAGGACTTGAACAGAAAAGTGGGCGCAGAATGTAGTGGGGGCGAACGCTGTGGGAATCAGAAGAATGCAAATGTCCAAAGGAGGGCACAACGCTTCCCTGTTCCGAGTGCGCTGAACTTGCCACGTGTCTGCATCCCAGAGTTAGCTGCCCTTGATAACAGGGATGCTTTGTCTTAGAACACAAGACGAGTGTTTAGAGGTTCCTTGAATGTCTCACTAACAATTCTGCCTAATAACTTCTTGGTATAATTTTTACATTGTTGAGAAACAATCTATCTTATTTAACTCTCGTGAGACGGACCCAGGCAGAGTAAGTGATGTTGTAGATCAGCAAAGCTAGGCGACTCATCACGGTTGAAACACAACCCAAATATGCCTTCGTGTCCATCAGTTCCCTATAAGCTGCCTTCTGAAAGAAGGTCTACATTGAGACAGGGATACATGCCCACGGTACCCACGGACAGCAGGAAGCCTTGGGGATGTTGAGGTGCGCTGTGAAATTCCACACTGCTTATCTTCTGCTGTTTGACTATCCGTAGGGCTGTAAGCTTACTCAGAGCTCACATAGAGGCATCCAGGTACTGTAAGTCAACTACTGCTTGTTCTTTGTTCCTTGTTCTGTGAGATGAAGGAGGCCTCAGATGCTTTTGGCTCGGTGAGGCTCAGAGCACTGTGTCTGCTACGTGTGTTAAAAGGGGCTGTCGTGTGCGTGTGTTCCCTAGTAGACTTTTCCTTGCCTGCTCTGTTTTCAGACATCAAGCCTTATTTCGATGTGTTCTCTAACTCTCTGTTTACCAACTGTGTTCGATTGTCTGAATCACCTGGAGAATTCTGATTTCTGTAGAGCAGGCAAGTTTAGGAAACAACCTTAGCCCGATCCATGAGACCTTTCTCTCAGAGTTTGATGATTGAGTCCCGTCCAGAACCGAGGACCCTAGGGTGTTCCTGCAAGTGCTTGGCGGGTGACCGGCATTGCTCTCGGTCAATGAAATAAAACAACCAAGAAGTTAGACAGGCATTCAGAGCCTAAGGGTCCTTTCTAAAATCGGGAAGGACTCAGGAAGTGTCATGAATGGAATAATACTGATGACTTATTTCAACGATGCCCACTCCGTACCAGGCATTGCGCTAGGTGCTGGGGTATACAGCTGTGAATGAGACAACTAACATTTTTGGAAGTCCTTATCACGGGATGGATACCAAGCTAACCGCTTCACATACTTTAACTGGTTTACACTTCACAACTCTTCCATGAGGTAGGTATTCTCACCTTCATTTTTAAAATTAAGAAAGAGTTCCTTCAAAACGTAGGCTGATGGGGCAGACGTCTCAGATCTAGTAACACAGACCTCATGCCATCTGGAATGAACACCCAGTCTGTCCGGCTCCACAGCCTGTGGTCCCTGTCCTGCTGATCTAGCTTCACCACAGAATAGCTATCTCTTCACCGTTTCTACTTCAAACAGAGGTTCTCCACCCCAGCTGCATGTTCGAATTGCCTGGGGAGCTTTTAAAAAAATCTTTGTCTGAGCTTCACGCCAGATAAACTGAGTGAGAGCACTGGACGGGGCCCGGACAGCATTTACAAGCTCTCTGGATGAGGTCAGTGCGTATTGACTGTGGAGAACGAACAACTCAGCATCATTAATTGACGTCAAGTAGACCCTGTCTTGGCCAGCCCAGTTGTTTCCAGCATCCTTCTTGGATCATTTGGCTGATTAAATGTTTAAAGGCTCCAAGTTATTTTTTCCCCCCATTTTAAACCAACTGAGAGTAGTCAAAAGATAGAACATACTTTAATAAGGCAAAACTTTTCCTGAAGAGCGACATGGTAGTAGGTCCCTTTAAAGAGGAACTCAGAAACTTGGACATCTCTTTGCAGGAGTAGCGTAGTCTAGACTGAGTGGTGAGAAAGAACCTGGGGTCTAGAACACCCATGAGCTTCTGGCTTTCTCTTTTCTGGAGAGACCCAGAGAACCTGAAGACTCTTAATCTGATGGGGGAGCAAACCTTGAGACAATGGTGTTCCAAGAAAGTTTTCTTCATCCTTGGGGAGCACAGAGCACACATCAGCTTATTTTTCTCGAGGTCCAAGTGAAAGAAAAATAAAAGTGAAATAGTTTCCAGTTTACTGCTTTGGATGTGTTCATATATATACTTTAGACTAATTTTATTTTGAATGTTTTAAGAAAAATATACACCCTAACAATAGAATAGGTATCTAAGCTTCTTCAAGCTGTTTCAAAACTTTTAATTGCTCAAGCGATGCATGTGTATATACTTATATGAACTTCTAAGTGAATAATTCTGTATTTCAGCTTTCAGCACTTTGTTAAACATCTGTAATGTATTAGTAATGTCTTGCCTTTGTGAATATGGCAATCTAATTAATTATCGACTCTACTAATTAAATCCCGTTTTGCTTGTCTTCAACAAATGAACTGTGACTGGCCCCCTAAGAGAAGTTCTTTTCAGGGCCTCTGTATCAAATATTGAGAGTTAATGGCTAGTCGAAGTAATCACAAAGTTGTGGTCCATAAAATCCCTAGAAAGAGAAAGACAGGGAGAGTAAATGTGGGATCACTGTATTTCAACAATGTTGGAGGCACTTCTGCGAGAAGGAAAAATCCAGGCTACCAGGAGAGGGAAGACTTTTTAAACCAATGAGTCTTTAGAGAGAGAAAGACAGACCAATGACTGCTCCTCCATTATAAGTAACTTAAGGGTGAGCCTTACTTTTGCATTTGAAAATTCAGTCATCAATGCCAATAGAATAGTTGGATCATAAAGTTCCATTGCAGATGAATCATTTTATGACCATTACTTAAAACCATCATTACCCCCCCAAAGTAAACAAAGGGGGAAAAAAACAAACAAACAAACAAAAAGCAAAAAAAGAAAAACATGAAAAATGGCCTCCTTTTTTACATTTCCACATAGGTGATCTCCATACCAGGAGATGAACTTGACCTTGAACTTGGTTGGGCGGGAGACGGACCTGGTTGGGCGGGAGACTGGAGCCCCTCAGAAAATTTGGGATTCTTCCATTTTTACTGGGAGGGTTGGCAGGTATAACATGTGTTGTTATGTGAGTCCATGAGAGCGTCCAGGGTTCTAGCCCCCGCCTCTCCGTGCGGTGGGGAGTCAGTCGCTCACGCTGAAGCACTCGACTGATTTCTGTCTGTGGCTTACCCATGCACAGTGGCTTGGACGTGTCAAAGCATGAGAAGCATGCAGTTCAACAGCATGCACTGCCGTCACCTTCTACCTGGTCTGCATGGGACAGCTCGGGGGCTGTCTGCCCTGGGGCTCAGGTCTCCCCTTCTGTCCTCACAGAACTCCCTGAAGGCTTCCAATCGTAAGAAGAAGAGAACAAGCTTTAAAAGGAAAGCCAGTAAAAGAGGAACCGAAGTAAGTGTTTCAGGATCCTGTTCCAGTGAAAAGCATCCTCCCTTCCCTAGCCTCCCGTGTGTGACATGATCTGGCCGAGCTCATTGTTTCGATGTATCTCTCCCCACTCTGTTCTCCTTCACCACATTCTAACCACGCTGGAATTTGTCGTATCTTTTAATTTTTTTTTTTTTTATCCTCACCTGAGGACATTTTTCCATTTTTTGTTCAGTTAGAGTGGGAGAGAGAGAGAGAAACATCGATATGAAAGGGACACATCGAGTGGCTGCCACCCGCACGACCAACCAGGGCCGGGGACAAACTGCAACCGAGGTACGTGCCCTTAGCAGGAACCGAACCCGGGTCTCTCTAGACTGCAGGCCGACGCTCCAACTGCTGAGCCAAACTGGCCAGGGCTCGTATCTTTTAAAATATAACCTCTGCCACTTCACAGAGCACTTGCACTTGTCCGCGGAAGTATTGTTCCAAAGACGATGACGATAAGAGCTAACGCTTCTAGAAGGCTTAGTGTGTAGGGTATAAAACCAAAACATGGCTTAATTCTCAGGGGCAAAAATAACCTCAGGCACTTTCTTCTAAGCTTTGCACGGAGTATCCCGATAAGAGTAAAAACAAGACGTATCCTTTTCTTTGCACGGGTCGGGGTGCTGGTGGGTTCTCCCCTTGCTTTGGGGCTGCCTGTCCGGTCACGGATGTGCGTCTCAGTTGTGCTCCTTTCTTCCTCCGGCAGGAAAGCAGAGGTCGTCCTTTTGTGATCAAACCCATCTCCTCTCCTCTCATGAAGCCCTTGCTTGTGTTTGTGAACCCCAAGAGTGGAGGCAACCAGGTGAGTCGTTTTGGATGAGTTGAACTTGGGAGCTGCAGTGCTTTCTTGCAAACGCAACTCCTGGTGCAGTGAAAAGAGCCCCCACCCAGGACCCCAAGCATGGGAAGACTGGTTGCTGCCGTGGGGGACAGCCCTCCACATTTCGGGGCCAGGTGAGGACGATTCTGCCAGAGGCCTTCAGAAACCCAGCTGCTGACCTTTTCCTTACGGATTTTCAAGAAAGGTCGTTCTACCACCTCTCGTTAATATTTCAGGGTTTCTCACATATATTTAGGAAGCCCTTTATGACCTTATTTTTATTCCTTCCTATTGTAATTTAGACCTGGTTACTGCTGTCCCTGACCTCAGAGGAAAAAGAGAACAATGATTCATCATTCATGATAATCCTGAACAACAAACACCACCAATGCTATCAGAAACGTCACCTGCTACAGGTTTCTTTGGCCCTTGCCCAAATCCCAGCGTATACTTAACATGGACTTCAGCTGAGAGAGAAGAAATAACCTTAGAAAAAAGTTCAGTGGAATGACACCCCTACAGCTCTTTGAAGGACAGACTTTGTCCTCGAATCCAGGTCTTTGTTTCATCTTTCTGAGGTTTCTTATCAATACTCCTCTGTGGGTTTTGACTTTCTGTGTTGTTTTCATGTGAGATTAGATGATGAAATAGTTTCTGTGTCCATTCAGTGTACATTTGACTTTTGAGACAAGATTCCTTGGCGTTTCACACTGAACGACGTAAGGATTTGGAGCTGTTCAGTCACCCAAAAGAGGAGACAGGTCTATAATTAAGACTGACCCAATAGTCCAAGATGATGTTCTTATTACTAAAGATAATGGGCATTTTCCAGAATGTATTAATTACAGCGAAACTTCTTTTATGGGTGCTTGTAATTTAGAGAAAATATTATCCCGCCTCCCTCCCTTTCTTTAAAATTCTTGATAACTTGCTGTGTTAAAAAAAAATCTCTATTAATGACTCTGTTCCCTATGCTGTGATTTACATCTCTGTGACTAATTTGTAATAACTGTGGATGGGGCCAAGGGGGTCCTTGAAACATCGGGGAACCACTCTGTAAAGTACATAATTGTCTAACCACGATGCTGTACACCTGAAACTAATACGGAATAATATTGAACGTAAGCTGTCCCTGAGAAAAGATTTAAAAATCTCTATTAATGTGGTAGAGAGCAGGAATGAGAAATGTGGTGTAAGCAGGGAAATGATCTCTTGTCAACATCTTGCTTTTTTGAGTTGCTGAGGCACCTCCGTATTGTTATGATGTGATCCTAAAATTGTCACTAGGGGGGGGTCCTGCGGGGGTGTTTCTCAGGAATGAGGTCCAGTTTGCCCTGAACCAGACCCTCCCTCCCGGTCTGGTCTCCCTCTAGCCTGACAGGGACGGGGGTGTGGTTGGGGAACAAAACAAAGCTCATGGAATTGACGCCATGATTTTGGCCACCAGATGCCAAATATATTTTACTGTGACAGTCATTATATAAAATGCACTTGTGAAATGGTGAAAAGCTTTTTTTCTAGGGCATACGGAAGCGTGCAGGTGACCCCTGCCTTTGAGGCGCAGACACTGCAGTAGGACGCAGCCCGCTCTGTGTAAATGAATGACGGGGACTGTAGAGATGACCCAGCATTGCTTCCTGTTTCACTAACTACAAGGGCTCAAGGAAGCTTAAGTGGGTTTTCGAAGGACATCTTGTTTGTTAACGACACAAAAGGGGCGGATGGGAAGAATCATTCGGGCGACGCTATTTGGGAGTTCTAAATTGAGTGGGTCAGCCCACAGGTGCTACGGAATGTTCGAGGTAAGAGGTGACTCGGGAGTCATAAGGAAACGGTGTCCGGGAAGCAGCTGAACTAGAAGATGGACAGTAGTTAGTGATGCAGACGAGAGAGAGCTGGAGCAACGCCTTCCCCTTCACTCGACTGCCTCAAATCCCGTTTGTCTTGTGAGGCTCAGGAGCATCTTTCTGATTCTGTCTCAGGACCGATTGCCCTGTGCACCCAGAGCCCCTGGTACTCTGTGAATTGCATCATATGAGTGTCTAGGCTAAGAAGAGCAGCTTCCATCATAAATACCAGGGTGCAGCTTTGAACCTATGATTTCCAGTGCATGGCATATCGTAGCGGACAGATAATTGTATAGATAACAGTATCAATGGGAGAACAGGTGTCACGATGGAAATGATTTGTTTTGAGGACAGTAGGGTGCGTGGAGCAGGCGTATTACTAGACATGTGGTTGGGTAAAGATTAGAATGAGCCATGACCGGTGTCTTAAAACTTGGCTGAGAATGTTGGATTTGTAACAGGGAACAGTTTTTCACTGTTTAAAGTTTTTTGTTTTGTTTTTTTTAATATATTTTACATTGTAAACAAAAGAGGAATACGATGCAAACATCTTTAAGGAAGATTGGTTTGACACGTGGAGAATATGTGCAAGTCGGGAGGTTATGCCCATAAACTGAAGCATGAATTGGATCGATGGATTGATGAGTGGATGGCTGGCTGGCTGATGAGTGGGTGGGTGGACAGATGGACTAATGAATGGACTGTGGATGGATGGGTAGACGGACAGATGAGTGAATGGAGTACACAAAGGGAGGTAAAACATCAAGATTTTACAGCAGATTATCTAACAGAGGTTTTGTTATCGATGAGTATCCAGGAAAGGACGGGATTATTGGGAAAGAGACTGAGATGTGTTTGAGGAACTTGAGGTCACAGGGAGATATTCAAAGTTTTAAAAATGCCCAGTTATTAGAGAAAAAGACTTAATGACTTTGATGTTGTTTTATGCATTTGGGCTTGTGAGTGCATTGCCCTAATGATGTTACTTGAATGGCTAAGACTCTCATAAATGTGGCTAATCAAGTAAAAATGAATATTTCATAATGTTCAATATCTATATACTTCCTATTTAAAATAGAATTCTTTACTAAGCCTAATAAATATGAAGAACACTCTTTCTAAGCACAGTGTGAAATGTTAAGAAAGTTATAAAGAAATCCAAACACCTGTGTACAATCGGAATCATTCACACGGACCTCCAGCTTAATATATTTATGATGTCATCTTCCGTGAGGAAGGCACAGCTTGACCCCCGATGGCAGTGAGTAGGGAACAGTGGTGATGGGAGACGATCAGACTCCTGTTAGGGTAGCCTTCCCCTGGGCTGTGGCTGTAACACACCCTTAACGTTGCCGATGAGGGTAGATTCAGGCATGACATTGGGAGTCAGAGGGTCCTCCACTCTGGCTGCACAACACACTAATGGGTAGCTTTAAAAAGCTAGTGATGTCTCACCTACCCCATACTAATTAAATTAGAAGCTGTGAGGGTAGGACTCTTTAACCGGTGTAAGCTCCCAGTTTATTTTCCTGTGTGGCCAATGCTGAGAACCACGGACAGACTCTTCTCAAGCTTGAACGTGCATATGAATCGCATAGGGATCATGTTAAAATGCAGATTCTGACTCAGTCAGGGGTGGTCCTGAAATTCTGCTTTTTGAAGAATCTCCCAAGTAGTGATTAGCATAATAATCTACATACAGGTCTCTCCATGCTGTCTCAAAGGATGAGAGATCCTTCTTTTTTACAGCTGCATAGTACTCCATTGTGCAAATGTACCATAGCTTTTTTTGAATCTATTCATCTACTGATGGGCACTTGGCTAATGTAAATAGTGCTGCTATGAACATAGGGGTGCATATATTCTTTCTTATTGGTGTTTCAGGTTTCTTAGGATAGGTTTCTAGAAGTGGAATCACTGGGTCATAAGGCTGTTTCATTTTTTTTTCTGTATTGATTTTCAGAGAGAGAGAGAGAGGAAGGGAGATGGGGAGAGAGACAGAAACATTGATGAGAAAGAACATTGATTGGCCGCCTCCTGCATGCTGCCCACTGGGGATTGGGCCCACAACCTGGGCATGTGCCCTGACCTGGAATTGAACTGGCGACCTCTTGGTGCAGGGGTTGATGCTCAATCACTGAGCCACACCGGCTGGGCGGTTTCATTTTTAATGTTTGAGGTATCTCCATACTGTTTTCCATAGTGGCTGCACCAGTCTGCATTCCCACCAGCAGTGCACTAGAGATCCCTTTTCTCCACACCCTCGCCAGCACTTGTTGTTTGTTGCTTTGTTGATGGCGGCCATTCTGGCAGGTGTGAGGCTTCCAACTTAAACAAACAAACAAACAAACAAACAAACAAACAGTGTTCTTAGGCTTCTGCTCTTTAAATAACTAGTCTATATCGCCATCTTCTGGCAAGTAAAATACCTACAGCCCTTTTCCTTCCCACAGTATTTTAGGTGTGGACGAACATTTCCAAGGCTTTGCCCAACTATAGTGAGATGACCACGTGGAGGGACTACTTCTATGTCCTTCTTTTAAACAATCCCATCTCTTACACAGATACTCTACAGTAATGGTCTCTTTTTCTAACACTTCAGGTAGAGAAAATACTGGATTTTTGCAAAAATGTAGAGGTTGGCAGCACTGATGTTATTGTGGGGATCTACGTTATTTGAGGGAACGGGCACTGGAATCGGGGGCCACAGTATCCACCCTGAGTGTCTCCTGTGTTGAAGAGGTAGCAGCGGGAAGATCAAGTTTACTCCCGAATAGTCCTCCGCTCTGCATGGAAACCCACGGGCTCCAGGAATAAGCACCATCTCTTACACTCATCTCTCCTCTGACGTCAGAACATTATTTTTCTTGGATGCCTCTGGCTCATTAACATCTTTCTACCTGAGTTTTATGAACCTCTCTGGTACCTCCCGGCATTTTCCTGCATTCCTACTGTTTCTCCCTCATGCTCTCTCGTGACCTTCACCTTCCACTGACATGGAAAAGTTCAGGGTTGCCCGGCTGGTATGGCTCAGTGGTTGAGCGTCAACCCATGTACCAAGAGATCACCAGTTCGATTCCTGGTCAGGGCACATGCCCAGGTTGTGGGCCAAATCCCCAGTGGGGAGCGTGCAGG